ATAAATTTAAATCAAAACGGTGTTCTGATATTCCGATATTGACATCATTACGAAATACAGAAACTCAGATGAATCGTATAAAGTTTACGCAGTTATAACAATCATTACAGAAATCATGATATATCTACATGATATCGTCATTCTCGCGATGAATCAAACAGCAAAATGCACAACTGGGTGTTATAATTATTTTGATGAAAAGGTTGTCAAAATATGGACAAAATAAATTTTCACTGAATCTTTCAAACTTTAGAATTAATACTCAGTGATAAATAATAATTGATCATATCTGTGTACTTATGTTAGCGTTTTCTTTTGCAGCGCGCGGCCAATTTTTCAAAACTTCATTTAATTTTCATAATTAAGCCGGTTCTCATATGTCTATAATATCCTAAGCTATTTGGTTTGACTGTCAACTCTATCGCCATGCAAAGTTTCCAGAAGAGTATATCTGAGGTTCTCCTTTTGAATTTTTCTTTATAAATTTATTCCTGAATCTCAAAGAAAATGTTTAGGTAGATTTATAAATGTGTAAGGTGTAGTGTGTAAAGTGTTAAAATATAATAAAAATGATCAAATTTTATTAATTCTTGTTCAAATGTTAAAATTTGAATGTTTTACTGGATCCATTCTTCCATTTTAAGTGTCAGTGATATGCTAGCGATTTAAATGCTATCATTATCCAAGAGAAGCGTTCGCTCTCTGATTTAGCTCTCAAAACAAAAGTTAGCATCGTTTGCATCCAAAAGAAAAAATATAATATTCCTAAATAAAATACGACCTATGGGGAGATCTATATCGCAATTCAGAGGGATTTAAAAATTGCAAAAAGCTTAACAGCCTCTCTCACACCTTTTCAGGTTTTTGCGATTGTGCGTTTGCCATCTGTGCTGGCAAACGACTCATATAAAAGAATCTCATTTCCGTATTACATATTAAATATATATATATATATATATATATATATATATATAAGGGTGGTTCTTAATATGGACATTTTCGAATTTCCTTGCTCCCAAGGGCTCAAATGGTTCCAAATTGATAAAAAACAATTCCCTGAAAGTTTTAGCTCTTAATATTGTCTTTTAGATAGAGCGCAATTCAATCAAAGTTTTGTGTGGAAATAGCATGGAAAAATTTTCAAAAATTTTGGAGAGCGTCGAATTTTCAATAAAAAATGACACAAATTTTCACTTTTAATTCATTTGTCGCTAAGTTATACCTAAAAAAATCTTTTTTTAATATTCAAAATTTTTTTCATGTCGAGAGTAGGAACATAACTAATATATATTGTTTTGTTTGCTTTCAAAACTTTCCGAATCTCAAAAAATTTAAATACAGTAAATTTTATCTAGATGTTTAATATTTACGTTTCGGAACCTAGATACGTTCCATCGTCAATGTTTTTAGTCAAAAAAACATTTTTTATATAGAACAATATTGATAGTAATCTGATGGCATGAAGTTAAAAAACTTCAAGTAATGGATTACGTATGATATTTTGAAAAACAAATTAAATTATTAAAGACTAGAATTATTTACCTGTAATTTTAAAACTCACTTGTTAACTTTCCGTAGGATAAGTTATAGTAATCGAAAAAAATCAAAATTAAAAATGTTTGTACATCTTCACAATTCTATGCCTACACAACATTTTGGCATACTTTAGAAAAAAAATTGATGTATGTTTCTGTATATGAAGTATGTATTTATGTATGCTCTTATAAAAAAAATTTGTCGACGATTACGAAAGCGCGGATCAACCGATTCGAATGATTTAAAAAACCTTCGATTTTTACTGATAGGAAGATGTTCTCATTAGTTTTTGCAAAGGTAGGTTTAGTTGTTTTGGAGATACGAAGAAAAAATGCACATAATGGCTATTTCAAAGATGAGATAATTTAACAGCTTCTATTCGATTCTCAGATTGATTAAACTGTGCGTAAGTGTGATTAAAATGTAAAACATGGGTAAAGAGTATATATTTTTTATGGGATAAAATGTGAAACTGATTGGTATATTGCTTTTGACTAAAATCTATATGCAAATATAAATCAATTATGCTAGGTCAAGTGATTAAAGATACTAAATTCTTGTAATTTGAAAAAAAAACACAGAAGTTATAATATAATAAAACAGATTTTGTTTTTTGTCTTGACATAATATCTGTTCGGCTCAAAATGGGAATCATATCTGAACCATTCAGTCGCAAGACCAAGACTCTCATAACTAAGCCTCGGGGAATATAATATATATATATATATATATATATATATATATATATATATTAGGGTGGTCCTTAATATGGACACTCTTGAATTTTCTTGCTCCCAAAGGCTCAAATGGTTCCAAATTGATAAAAACAATTCTCTGAAAGTTTTAGCTCTTAATATTGTCTTTTAGATAGAGCGCAATTCAATTAAAGATTTGTATAGAAATAGCATGAAATTTTTTTCAAAAATTTTGCAGAGCGTCGAATTTTCAATAAAAAATGACACAAATTTTCACTTTTAATTCATTTATCGCTTAAATTTTTAAATTTTTAATTTTCAAAATTTTTTCCATGCTATTTCCATACGAAGTTTGATTGAATTGCGCACTATCTCAAAGGTAATATTAAGAGCTGGAACTTTTAGAGAATTGTTTTAAAAATCTGTTCTTTATTCATTTTTCACTTCATGTTACGCCCTTCAAGAAATTATTCATATATATAAAGCTTTAATTATCTTGAATAAGTCCGATCGGATTCAGCCAGGTGGCGTTAGCTAGATGAGATTTCGTACTAAAAAAACTTTTCTGACAGTTTTTTACTTAGTTGACGCAGTTTTATTTAACAAACATGATATTCTAAAGATAATCATGTTTTAAGTTAAACTTGTCGATTTCATACAAATTCCTCGTCCTTCACTATGTCTTCGTCGGTTCGTTGATTTTTTGCAAGTAGTCGGAGTTGACTAGGATACCTATATCGTTATCGTTTGGAACGTGACGGCTGCCTCTTGATTCGTCACGATCCGTATCGCCGATATTGCGACGGAGATTCGTTATATTACGATGTCATAATAATGACAAAACTCTATTCCGCACTTAGTGCACTCACAGCATCCCTAGTGGGTGCGAAATGGATCGTTTCGAGAGAAATAGATCGAGGTGGTGTGAAGGATGACCTTTCTAGGCAATGTCTATCATCACAAATGCACCTGACATAAATCTCATTGATCTAAATTCAACTATATTTACGGAAACCGTCAGACTTTGAAATTAAAGGCTCAAAAAACCATTGCACTAATCATACCAAATAGTTTCATTAATAGATATTATATATAATTAAAATTTTGGTGAACTTACTAAATTTTGAATTTCATATGTGGTATTTCATATGATCAAAATAAAAGAATTTGATTGGCTACTACGTAAAAAGTCTAAGATCTCTGTTGGAAATAAGTAGCTGCTATAGAAATCAATCATCAAACCAATCTGGACCTACGGAATTGAGCTCTGGGGATGTGCTTACAAATCAAATATAGCTATAATGCAAAGAACTCAGTCAAAAATTCTACGTACAATTCTTAATTCTCAGTGGTACGTAACAAATGAAACCATTCACAGTGACCTCAACATGAAAACGGTGAATTTAACGTTCAAAGAATTCAAGGAAAAATACAAACGCAAACTGGACTCACATTCAAACCCATCAATAGTTGACATTACTAAACCTTATGGCATTAGGAGATTGAAACGACAATGGCCTTTAGACTTAGTCTTAGATTAGATCTAATATAATATCATATTATCATATTAAATTATCATATTAAACTGAGAAGATCTCATTGTAGCTCTTCTTAGGCATCGCTTTTAAATATTGTCATTTTAGCTCATAGGAATCTTTATGTATTTCTGATTGCTAAATAAAACGAGTTAAAAAAAAATGTGGTATACCTGTGTCTACGGAAACCTGTCAAATTGACGGGGTAGCTTTATTACGCAAAAAATGATATATTTGTATTATTAAGTTTTCAAATAGTAAATATAACAGTAACAAAGAATCTGAGATGCACTTAACATGATTACATTACATTATTTTATATAGCCAACAAAAAAGTTCATCGCGTCACTCGATGTTCTAGATCAGTAAACATGAACATCAGGATTTTGAAAAAGTTGCCAAATCGTGTGATAAAAGCAGAATTTTTAATTTTTATGTGTATTATAATACCATTGCATCGCAAAAAGCTCAATTTCAGTTTATTTGGACACTGTAACTTGATCACCTAACAAAATTAAATAAAACCAGATACATCTACATGTTCTTACCTCTCAGGCTGCATGGATGTCAGCATTTCTTCCCAAAATTGCACAGATTCAAGTTATTCACACACACACATTGTTTTACGCGAAATTATGCAGAATTGATTTAATTAGCACTTTTGTTTTAATAATCAATTAATTTACACAAGTTTTATTACCCATTACACTTACTTCTATTTTAAAAAGACTTTTCTATTAGGCTGAAAGGAATTTGTAGATTAATGTACAAAGTAAGGTACGGTTATTATTTTGTGCAAATTAAAAAAAGTATAAATGAATATCAATTATATATTTATTAGGCAATCTAACTAACTAACAGGAATTGTCTAACTATAACCTAGTTTACGGTTCAACCTCTCTATGGAACAAAATTGATAAATTCATCAATTCGATCGAATCGAAAAGTTTTCATGAACATTTTATAATTGATGTAGGAGTATAAAATTACGCCCATTAACAAGTTGCTATTAATTTCCGATTCGTAAAAATTAGCAGAGTAAAATATTTGTAAAACATCGACAATATTTGATTAAAAAAACAACAGAATTCGAAGAAAGTCAACAGAGTTAAAAAAATATCGATAAACATCAAATAATAAGAGAAAGAATCGTAGAAAATCGATAAAAATCTATTTTTGTGAGACGTGTAACCGTACCTTTAGAATACATGCCTAGGAATGAAAATGCACTGACCTTTGTTTAAAATCGCCAATTCTTCTGGAACATCCCGATTACCAATTTGTTGTCTGAAAAATAGAATAAAAAGATTATTTTTGAACATATTGAAAAATTTTGATTTGTACTAAAGAAATTGTATATTACCTCGGGATTTCCAGAAGAGAGCTGACCAGGAACCGGGAACCAGGGACCGGGAGCAAAACACTATCACTGAACACTGACTATATCATTATAAAAACTTTTATGAAACGATAACGATAAACAAACTCGGATTATAAAGCCACTCAAAAATCGAGAAAAACTATCACTATCAGGTAAATTATTAGACCACAAGCAAACATGTCTTTTTAAAAACACTAGTCACTAATGGAACTTGTAGTGATGTTCTTCTAATCAACAAAAATACAATCACTAATGATAAAATACATAGAGATTCGATTTTTCTTTGGCATATCAACTTCATTGTGGTTGGTTATTGTATTCTGATATCTTCTTCTGTTCTGAGAATTAAATTTTTGCTGAAAACAAACAAATAAATAAATAAAAAACTGTAATAACATATTTATTTTCTTTCGAAAGCGAACTTGTTGTTAGTCCAAGATTGCAAATGAAAAAACATTCATTACAACTCAAAAAAGAAAATAAAGTTTTAAATATAAATGAGACGGTTTGTAAATATAAAGTTCCAAATTATAATGAGAATATTTACTTATATTTTTTTTCGTGATACAAATACTGATAAAAATAATAAATGTTGAAGATACTTTACACAGATTAAAAATATATTTTTATGTTATTATAATACACTTTTGTGTTATATTATTTATTGTGAATGAGCACCACTAACAAAATTTCAGTAATATCACCAACGATTGATTTCGCACATCTACTGTAGGGGTGAATTATAGCCCTGGGCTAAATTTAGTTAGGTTTTTAGCATGATTCCTGCCTTAGCATGTCTCGTCTGCCAAATATTGATCATTATTGATAAAATGTCATGGATGTGTGAAAGTATTAATTTTTAATGATTTTATTCGTAAATTGTTACATACACCCCACAATCTGAGAGGGTACTTATTTAATGTACTATAACAGTAATTATTTGGCATAGAATTTGACTAGAGTCCTTTGTTATGAATAGAATTTTAAATTTTTCTCCAAGTTTCTTAATAGGGCAGTATTTTAACTAGTTAAATGTGATTGACAAATATAGTCGTCACAAGGAAGTCGCAGAATTTGGTGTATTGACGAATATATCCATCACGCATATAAAACAGTGACCATTTGCAATATAAATTGAAGTTTTTGAAAACATCAAAATATATTCTGAAATATCAAGTTGTTTAGAATATTTTGAGGCTATGACTTTAGAAATTAAGTAGTTGTAAGTGGTATTTTACCATAAGGCAAGTTGCATGAACCTCCCGAAATGTGAAAATAATTTACTTTATAAGAATTAAGATTTAGGTATTTAAATAACGTTTTCTACTGTTTATTGTAAAAAAGGCTAATGATGCTTTTCATCAAAAACAATTCTTAGCTTTTTACATTCACATGTGTAATATCATTACATTTATCCCGTTCCTTAATTACGTAAGTAATATATTTATTTTAACAAGGAAGTAAAATGTAGTAATAAAATATTTCAGTTTTGTAAAATAAACCCATATCATCCAAAATCTTACTAGAGCAACTTAGCATGTGGTTGACGGATATACTCGTCATGAGCAAGATTCGGATACGAAATATAATCTCTTATATAATTCTATGTATACGTATATCTTATATATAAAAATGGAGTTCGATACTATTCGCTAAAACTCGATAACAGCTGAACCGATTTGGTCAGTTTTAATAGTCTTCAAATATTTTGTAATAATCCTTGAAATATTTGTGGGAAAGGTGAGAAATTATTTCAATACCGCGTAGATATTTTACATTTTCAATTTAAAGTTTTTGTCGAAGCGTAATTTCACATTTATGTAATTGATAGAATGTTTTAAATGTAAGTAAGTAGTAAGTAAGACCAAACAAGTGTTAGAATGGATTATACCATGTTTTTCATACGAAGTGGGTAAAACGAATATTATTAATATGGACTATATTATATTAAACAATTTGATTTGAATTATTTTATTAAAGAATTTGAAGTTTTATGGTTTCCCAGTCATGCAATACATCCTTACACACTTACAATTAACTAGTTTTTTTTTCTAAATATTGTCTACAAATACCTTACATGGTAAGACAACGTTTACCGGGTCACCTAGTTTAATATAAAAATTTCAATTAATTAAAATTAATCTTGTTTGATCTTACAACTTCAATCAGAATCTTAAATTCCCGCAACATAATTTCATTTCCGTAAAATCGCATCCAACATAAATAATCCCTTTGATCCAGTATCAATATTGCAAATTCATCCACCACCTCCTTATTATAATTATATTTTTCTTTTCTGCCATTAGATAATACTTCTACCCTTATTTAATAATGTCCCCGTTCTTTCTTATCGTCACTTTTTACTTTGTTGTCGTATCTGATGTCAACCGGTGGGGTGCATGGTTACGCGACACCTGTAACATCGTGATTATTTTCGTGGATTTTTTATATTTTTCATGCAGATAATAATGAATCGAATTTAGAACAGAACCGTATCGGAGATATATAAATATTGATGCCTGATATAATTTTTCGTCCACATTTTCGGGCGCATCAACCGATTTGAATTCGATTTCTATTAATGGGGAGATGTGCTGATTAGTTTTTGGTAGAGGCAAATCCAGCCGTTGCGGAGATATGGAGCAAAATGTACAAAAAACGGCAGCTTTTTTTAGAGAAATAAGCATTCGATTTGAATGATTCAAACATCTTTCTGATGATTTTTTTGAGTGATTCAAAAACAAGGCGAAACGATTGTTTCGGAAAAGAGAAACAATTTTTTTTTAATATCGAAAATAATTCAGATTTTCAAAATTTGAATTCGGTACAGAAAGTTCCAGCAATTTTCCTCAAGGCACGATGCTATACACCACTAGTTTTTTTTATATTTCTATTTATTTCTTTCTATAATCCAAATTTTTATAAGAATGAATTATTAGAAAATTTGTAAAATATTTTATTTGTACATATTATTATTAATATGGACTATGCAGATTACATCTGCTAAAATACATTAAAAACTGTTGTGTATACCTATATAATAAAATTTTGAATAAAACGTGTTGGAATATTTTTCTGGTATTATATTTAGCAATATGAAATTAGACTTTATTCATGTCTTTGAATACCTTGGCAATTTTGCCAAGGCCACTTTATTTTGCAAGTAAAAACAAGGTAAATTTTACTGGAATCAGTAAAAACAAGGTAAATTTTACTGGAATCTAGTACAACCAGTTATTTACACTTGGATAAATTTACTAAAGTCTACTTGGATATTGAATATTGGATATTGAAATTTGCACTTAGATATTGAAATTTTGAATAATTCGTAGTGAACTAGCTCCTTGAAAATATGCAATAAATAGTTTTAGAATAATTTTAATTTTTATCAAATAACTTTTATATTGATGCCGGGTTTTATAATTTATTATTAATAATAAACAACAGTAAACAAAATTTACTGATATATGGTATGAACAGTTATTTACACTTGCTATTAAAAATTTACATGAATCATAAAAAAAATGCGGCCTCCAATATTTTGATAATTGGCAATATAAAAACTTAAAACATTTTAAATTTTCTTCAGATAACTTAATTTTTATTTTATATATATTAGTAAAAACTGAATATTAAACAAAAACTATTTCAACATGCCAGAGTTGATCAAAATCGATTAAATAAAATTCAAAAACTCTCGAGAAATATGAATTGTGATTCGTGCTGAATTTATTGGCAAAAGGTTTTAGCTAAACCAATTTTTCATAATTTTTTGAACAAATTATTTTTGACGATTTTGATGAAAATTTGTATAATAATATAGCGTTTGCAAAGGTTTTAAAATATTATATTTCAATCAAAAAAGTTTATATAAAAAATTATTAAAGGGTGTAACAATGCCTAAGCTGATTTTTCATAATGAATTGTTGAAGAAAAGTTTGTTGGCAATTTGTATGATGTATGTATAGTGTTTACAAAGATTTTGAAATGCTATCTATATTCCAACCAAAAAAAGGTATAAAAATAAAAATTCATCAAAGAGTGAAACAATGCCTATGCCAATTTTTTATATTAAATTGTTGAAGAGAGTTGACAATTTGTATGATGATGATATAATGTCTACAAAGATTTTAAAATATTATATTTTAACCAAAAAGGTTTATGTAAAAATTCGTCAAAGAGTGGAACAATTCCTAAGCCGATTTGTCAGATTGAATTGTTGAAACAAAATTTGTTGACAATTTGTATGATAATATAGTGTTTACTAAGATTTCAAAATATTATATTCCAATCAAAAAAGGTTTATATAATATAAAAATTCATCAAGGAGTGGAGCAATGCCTAAGCCAATTTTTCATAATGAATTCTTAAAGAAAAATTTGTTGACAATTTATATGATGATATAGAATTTATAAAAATTTTAAAATATTACATTTCAACCCAAAGTGGTTTATATAAAAATTCATCAAAGTGTGAAACAATACATAAGCCGATTTTTCATAATGAATTGGTGATGAAAATTTTGTGTCCAATTTGTATGAAGATAGAGTGTTTTTAAAATTTTTAAAATACATTGCAACCATTATGTTTCTTATATGGTTTATATGAGAATTCATCAAAGAGTGGAACAATGATGAACTATGCCTAAATTTCAAAACTCTGTTGTAGCAATTTTAAAAGTTGCTAAACCAATAATTCTGAAGTTATATAAATATTAAAGTACTAGTAGAAAATCTAAAATATGAAAAATATATGCATTTGATCAAAATCATCAGATAATTTGATGAGCTTATGGTGAAATATAATTTGTGGCGAATATTAGATCTATTTAATGTGCCCAAAACTTAGTTTAAGTTTTATAGTATTTTTAATACTGTTTTAATA